TTGTAATTAATAATTTCCAAGAACTCTGGTTGTATGAAATGGACTAAGTATTGTAAGCTCGTACTCATTATTGGATTCTGGATGTAAAACGTGGATTGTTTTGAGTTCTCCCCTAGGGTGTGCTCGACGGAACTGTTCGATGAAGCTCACTTTCGAGGTGTTTAGTGTCTAGTGGAAGACGAGCGCCTCAGGAAGCATGCTATTTTGGGTGGTTCTGCCACAACAGTCTGGCACGCTGCCGTGGCTGCTGCGACGTACTCCGCCTCACATGTCGACAGTGCCATGATCTTTTGCATCAACGACTGCCAAGCAATGGGGGCCGCTCCAAGGAAGACGAGCACGTCGGAGGTGCTCTATCACCCATCAATGTCCCCCACCATGTCCGCATCGCTGAAGACAGTGAGCTCCGGCTCACCTTCCTTTGCCATAGGGGTGACTCACTGAAGGCCGTGAGCCACAACCCACCCTTGCCGCCACTCTTGGGGAAGATAATCGCTTGATCGAGCGTCCCCTTGATGTAGTGCAGCAGCCTTTTCACCGCCGTCCAGTGATCCTCGCGTGGGTCCTCCATGAAGCGGCTGACGTACCCGACCGCGAATGCGATATCTGGCCGAGTGTGCGTGAGGTAGAGTAGCCCTCCGACAATGCTCCGGTAGCGTGTCACGTCCACCTTCGCCGCCATGCTGTGCTTGGACAGCTTCAGCTGCTCCTCCATTGGAGTTACGCACGGCTAGCACTCTGCCATGCTGCTACGCTCTAATAGCTTCTCCGCATAGGCGCGCTGGCCCAGGGAGATGTGCTCCTTCCCCTGCCTCACCTCAATGCCGAGGTAGTAGGAGAGAGCGCCGTGATCGCTCATTTTGAAATGAGCTGCCATCTCGCACTTGAAACCGTCAATGTCCTCCACCGCACTCCAGTGATGATCAAGTCATCCACATACACGCCGACGATGAGCTCCTTCTTCCCCCGTTGCCGCGTGTACAACGCGTGCTCTGTGGCGCAGCGAGTGAACCCAAGCTCACCCAAGGTGGTGTCGAGCTTGGCATTCCATGCTCGAGGGGCCTGTTGCAGCCCGTAGAGCGCCTTGCGCAACTTGAGCACCTTGTGCTCAGCGCCCTTGACGGCGAAGCCCAGAGCTTGCTTGACAAAGACCGTCTTCGTGAGCTCACCATTGAGGAACATAGACTTAATGTCGAGGTGGTGGATGCACCAATCCTTTGCTGCTGCCATGGCCAATAGCAAGCGAACGGACTCCATTCGTGCCACCAGAGTAAAGACTTTCTCGAAGTCGATGCCCTCACGCTGCACGAAGCCGTCAGGCGATGAGCCGAGCCTTGTATTTGATAATGGCACCACCCTCATCTTGCTTCACCTTGTAGACCCACTTCAACCCGATCGTCCTGCAGCCCACCGGTGGATCCACCAGCTCCCATGTCTCGTTGTCCTCGATGGCCTTCATCTCTTCCAACATCACCCGACGCCAATTGGCATCCTCTGCACTAATAAGGAGCAGCTCTGGGTCATCGAGAAAATGACTGGCCAACCCAGGAGCTCCCCCTTGGCCGGTGATGTTGTCCACCCGCCTGAACCGGACCTCCTCGCCATCGTGGAAAGCGTCCACGTACTCATCAATGTCAGTGGGTGGAGAGGTGAACTTGATCGGTGGTCCATGGCCTCCCTGTTCTACCAGAGTGGTCGGCATCGCTGCTGGACCGCTCGACACCACTGTCGGAGTGGTTGGCATCACTGCTTGACCTCTCGGCACCACTGCGAAGTGGTCGGCTCCACTGCCGGAGTGGTCGGCTCGGCACTGCTGCTGAAGTGCTCGGCACCCCTCTGGAGTGGTAGGCATTGCTGTTGGACAGCTCGGCACCACTTCTGGGGTGGTCGGCACCTCTTATCCAGCGTCTCCACCACCGTGGATGACTAAGTGTTCGACGACGAAGGTGCTGCTCAAGCTGCCAGCTTCCCCCGTGCCCGGACCCTCCCAATCCCAGGCCGCCATCTCATCGAACACCACATCCCTAGAGATCACCACCTTGCCTCTCTTGCGATCATAGAGCCGATACGCCTTGCTGCCCTCCTCGTAGCCCAGGAGCACCATCGGCGTGCTCCTGTCTTCCATCTTGCTGAGGTGAGGCTTAGTGTTCTTCACATGGTCGACGCAACCAAATGTCCTGAGGAAGGACGCATTCGTCTTGCGTCCATGCCAAGCTTTGAACGGCGTCTTGCCCTTCAGGGCCTTGGTGGGCGTGCGGTTGAGGATGAACACCGCCGTGGTCACCGCCTCTCTCAAGAACTTTGCCGGCATGCTTTTGGCCTTCATCATGGATAGAGCCATGTCGATCACCGTGTGGGTTCATCGGTCCACCACGCCATTTTGCTGTGGCGAGTACAGCGTGGTGTGGTGTCGCACCACACCCTGATCCACGCAATACGCAGCGAACTCCATCGAAGTGAATTCGCCGCCGCGATCAGTCCACAGCACGCGCAGCTTCTTGCCGCTCTCCGCCTCCGCGCGCGCCTTGAACTTCTTGATCGCTCTCGCTGCCTCAGTCTTGCTGATGAGCGACTGCAGGCGGATGGAGAATTCCTCCACCGACTTACCATCCTTAAACTTGAGGTTGGTGTACTCCTACTTCAGCAGCTGGGCCGTCGCCTTCTTTGCGCAATCGGAGCCGACACGCATAGCTGTAATGGCCTCTCACGCCTCCTTAGCAGAGTTCTTCGTCCCCAGCGGCTCTCTGTACTCCGCTGGCACAGCAGCGAGGATAGCCTCCAACGCTGATATGTCGTCTTCTTCGCTGTTGGTGCCCTTGTGAATGGCATTCCAGAGCCGTCAGGCTCTAAGCTTGACCTTCATGGTCACCGCCCACTCGCCATAGTTGGTGCGAGTCAGGGTCAACCAACTGGTGCCGCTGACCTCCCGCACTATGCGCACGATGACTGGGCAGCCACAGCAGCGTCGCTGCTGTCACCCATCTCCGAACCGTCCGTCATCGTCAGCGGTTAGTCCAGCGACAGCGCTTGTATGGCTCCGATACCACTTGTTGATCCCTCGGCTGTCCTGCATAGGTAAGCAGAAGCTTACCAGCACACTCACTCACTATGGCTAGAGGTAGAAGAAGATATTGAGAACAGCTCACACACACAGTACAAGCCCAGCACTGGTTGAAAGCTTTGCTTTTGGATGTGGCAAACTGAACTGATTTGCTACATTGCCTTAGCATAGTATATATACAGGTGTTAGTATCTCTACCAGGTACATAGTTGTTGGTGAGTAAATCAACTAGCTACTCCTAAGGTACAAGGTTGGTGAATATATCAACTACCTACTCCTAAAGTACAAGGCTTAGCTCAGCCATCTCTATAATACATGGCTAAAGTATGCCATTCCTACTGTGGCCTACTGCCTTACTGCTACAGCAACAAGCAGTGGTCAGCCGAGCCGACCAGTCTAATCTCCTGATCTTCAGCCAAGAGAGAAATGGAGAGCAACAGATTATGTCTTACAACGTGCAAACAATACCGTCATTGGCCTTGATTTCTTGTTTTTAATGTTTCAACATGGCAGTTGCAGATAGCATCATATTGAATCAGCGAGTCCGTCCAGATTGGCTGAATAAGTTGGACAGACTGTTGGGGAACAAAAGAACATTGGTGGAGGTGAACACAATAACGCTTTGGTCCTGCGCTGAAGAATCTCTAAGCAAGAGCTCTACTTTTTTACACTAAAACTAGCTTTCATTGTGTCACCAAGCGACAAACCAGCGTTGTATACTCGTTTTTGGATTGAGGATTTCAAGCGAAGATCTCTCTAACTTGTCGGCACAAATCATCATTGGAGTTTCAGGAATGCGGCGGGACGGCGAAAATACAGCGCACACATTGTTCTTGGATGCAACGGTTCTTGTCCTTTTTAGCAAAGCAATCTTATCGACAATGCAAGTACATCTAGAGCTGTGATGATCCATTGAGTAACTAGATGATCAATCGACAATGGACCGTCATTCTTTTTAGTTTTTGCGTTGCCGATGATGTATACTAAAGTACTACTCTCTCTCTCTCTCTCTCTCTCTCTCTTAAAGGCGTCCTCGATTGCTACAGCCAGACAAAACAGTGACAAAGACCCGTTTTCTCTAGTCCATCCTTTTGGGTAGATTTTTCTCGTCAAGGAAACAGCAGTAAAAGCGTGGTTCCTTTTCCGGGCGTGCTTTTCGTTTGAGTGGTTTATAAGGACCGATAAGTTAATAATGAAAAGCAACTCCACGTTCATTGGAGCAGTTCACACGGAGCAGGAAGTAGGCATCCTTCACCATTGGCGTCCATTCAGGTTTAGGATAAGACGAAAAGTGGCCATACGTGCCTGCTGTTTTAGCTTCTTATATATTCCAGCACAGAACAAGAATGTATTGGCTGGCCATTGGCAAACTGCGCCTGGATTGTATTCTTTCAGTTGCAGGAGGACATTCCTTCTGGAAAGACGCTACCCACCACAGGCCACACAGGTAGAGGTAGGCACAGCTCTCAATAAACGACTTCCAAATTTACACGGCGACTCGTTAGATCATAGAACTTGACTATATGTTTCCATCGAACTCAAGTTATAGTGCTAGAAAATGCAGAATCCTATGGATTCTGAAAATCATTGAAGCCGTTTCAATCAAACTAAATTATCACGTGGGTCTGGTCAGATGTGCTATTTGTGATCCCTGAAAGGAAATAAAAACTATCTCCCAAGTTGACACTATCTTTTTAAACTGCCGGTATAGATTATTAAGGGAACTGGAAAAGAAATCACATTTTATCTCTAAATGAAAATGATACACGCCCTGCCCTGCCCTGCTTCCGTCTCCCTCTGTCTTCCCATCGCAGCCAGCTTCGCTGTATAAATAACCCTTGCGCCTCCCGGCTTCTGACCATCCATTGTGATACTTCAGACAGTTGTTCTTGCCTACTAAGCTTTCCTGTGTTCTTGTCTTCTGCCTGTGCTGTGAGTGATGGCCAGCCTCACAGATCTCGTTAACATCGACCTGAGTGACTGCACCGAAAAGATCATCGCCGAGTACATCTGGTTGGCATCCTTCTGTTCTTGCTCTGATTTTCTTTTCAGAATCGTCTTTGCATTCAGAACACAATCATTGCAAGTTACCAACGCAGTATGTTCTGAGTTCTACTACGTCAGGTCAAAACTCTTTTCTGCAAGTTTGGCCCCTTTATGATGTCGCCTCTTCTGTGCAGGATTGGAGGATCCGGCATAGACCTCAGGAGCAAAGCAAGGGTGTGTAGTCTTGTTCACGTCGTTTCTTTCTGAACCATGACCTATATCAGCGCTTGTAGTTGGCTGTAATTGAACCATAACTATATAGCCATTTCCTAGCATGATATACTCTATTTCTGACCATGCTGTTGTTGGAGCAGACGGTGAAAGGCCCCATCACCGATCCGAACCAGCTGCCAAAATGGAATTACGACGGCTCCAGCACCGGGCAGGCTCCCGGAGAGGACAGCGAAGTCATCCTCTAGTATGATCCTCATCTCCTTTCTTCTATTATTTTTTAAAAAAAAAACTGCATGGCACCTTGTTCATTGTTGCTTATGTGGTTGCACCTTTTGTTTTTCACTCTGAAGCCCTCAAGCCATTTTCAAGGACCCGTTCAGGAAGGGCGACAACATCCTTGTAACTCTTTAATTTGCGTACCTTCTCGTTTTACGTTTCTCTTAGAAGTCATAAAAACAGCCAAAAAGTTTTTTTTAATAAAGAAGATGAGCAAGGAAAAGAGGGACCAAAAGACCGTCCTTACTCTGGGATTATATGATTTTTTTCTATGTTTGTTTTTTCTACTACTTACTCTGGGATTTCGTTAAAAAAAGAAGGATGATAAAAAGACTATCTGAGTAAAGGTAGTAGTAAATTATTTGAACCATGTGAGTAAAAGTTTTTTTTTTTGGCAAGCAAGCTATGTTGGTTGGTTTGTTTTGCTTCTTATTCAAACTACTCTATATAGGTAATGTGTGACTGCTACACGCCACAAGGCGAGCCAATCCCCACTAACAAGAGGTACAATGCTGCCAAGGTTTTCAGCCACCCCGATGTTGCAGCTGAGGTGCCATGGTATGAATATTGGCCCAATTTCAGAGAGTGTTTTTTTTTTCAGCCTACAAAAATCAGCATTTTGCTGTACTGGTATCACACGAAAATGTTACAGTACTAACCAAAATCGACAAAAGATGTTATTATAGCCAATGAAGTAAATTGTTTGTTATTGTGGCACAGCAGTTTAGAAGAAAAACAATTTGTTGATATGAATGGAAAATAATTCAACTTAGAAAGTATGTGAAGAAATGTTGAACATAAAAGTTTTGAAGGACCACCATATTTGGAAAATTCCAACTTTTTATGTACTAGTACCTTTCTTTTCTTTCTTTTTTAAGCAGCCCGTACTTCATTAAGCAGTATGTACTACCTTTCTATCTTCTCTGGTTCCTCATCCGGACCTGTCTCTGAATTCAAACAGGTACGGTATTGAGCAGGAGTACACTCTCCTTCAGAAGGATGTGAGCTGGCCCCTTGGCTGGCCTGTTGGTGGATACCCTGGTCCCCAGGCAAGAAAACTTCTATGATCTGATCCTTCAACTTTTATCTATTGCATGCAAGTTAACAAAAAAAAACAAGCTAAGTGATGTAAGCTTTGAAAAAAAAAATTACCTTTTTTTAGACAAAAAAAACTTTGAACCAGTTGACATAGCGAAACTTTACAAGTATACAAAAGAGGCATTCTTGAGCTTTTGACGACCACTTCAATACAAAAGAGGGCAGAGGCATGCCTTGCAAGTGTCTCAACTGCTGGGTGCATTTTTCTTTTTTTCCAGGGACCATACTACTGCGCTGCTGGTGCCGATAAGTCATTTGGGCGCGACGTGGTTGACGCCCACTACAAAGCCTGCCTCTACGCCGGCATCAACATCAGCGGCATCAACGGCGAAGTCATGCCTGGACAGGTAGTACAACCCTGCTGCAAGTTAGTAATCGACGCGTGCTGAAATTGCTGATTCTGAACCGGGTTCCGTGTCAAACAGTGGGAGTTCCAAGTTGGGCCGTCCGTTGGGATCTCTGCCGGTGACGAGATATGGGTTGCCCGCTACATTCTCGAGGTCCGTTTTCTCGCAGTGTCTTCCAGTAGTGCAGTGTCAAACTAGAGTGCTGCGGCTAACAGTGATTTTTGCTGACTGGTTGGTTTCAGAGGATCACTGAGATTGCCGGAATTGTTCTCTCCCTCGACCCAAAGCCGATCCAGGTAGATGAAGTTTCTTCTGATTCTGACATGATCACATGAGCATAGCGATTACTGAATGGCACATTGGTGCTTGTTGTTTGTGTGCACGCAGGGTGACTGGAACGGTGCCGGTGCTCACACCAACTACAGCACCAAGTCGATGAGGGAGCCCGGCGGCTACGAGGTGATCAAGAAGGCGATCGAGAAGCTGGGGAAGAGGCACAAGGAGCACATCGCCGCGTACGGCGAGGGCAACGAGCGCCGCCTCACGGGCCGCCACGAGACCGCCGACATCAACACCTTCAAATGGGTCAGTATATATGGTTTCTGATGCGAATAATATAGATGCGAATGGTTTCTGATGCTGGTGTCTGCAGGGCGTGGCGAACCGCGGCGCGTCCATCCGCGTCGGCCGCGACACCGAGCGGGAGGGCAAGGGATACTTCGAGGACCGCAGGCCGGCATCCAACATGGACCCCTACGTCGTCACCGGCATGATCGCCGAGACCACCATCCTGTGGAACGGAAACTGATAACGCATGCATTCGAGCCACGCGATCCACGGTTATTCTTCTTCTGCACAACGCTACGCCTGCACGCATCCGCCCTGATGTCAGTTTGATTTTGAGATTTCGGTTCCCGTCATGGGGTGTCCTAAAAATGTTTACTTCGGTCTCCGGTGTACTGCTCGGAAAGTCTATTTTTTTTAACTTTACTGCTCGGAAAAAATCTGAATAACGGCTGCAATGGATTTTGCTCTCGTCATAGGGGTACCTTTAGCTGCTCTTCCCGTTTAGGATAATGTAAAATGTAATTCTACTACGTGATTTATATGAAAAAAAATCACAGTCGTTTTGTTCGCGATCACAGTGCGGTGGTTCCATTCCATGCTGTCCGCCCTTTATTTCCATGTCACCATGATACGATGCGAATAATATGGATCATGGATGCATATCTCTGTGTTACGGACCTGATCCGTCAATGTCCCGTCTTTCTCTTGTGACCACCGAGGCACCCAAGGAATATGATGTTGTGTGGCTCTTTAATCTTCAGCCCTTCTTGGCTTCTTCTTACCTATAGTCGATGAGACGCACACTTGCTACCACTGTGGCGCTTTTATTTACGCTTTACTTTACACATGAAAGTTGAAAGGGAACAGAGGGCCTTCCGGTTCCACCACAGCTGGGGCTAGCAAATCCAGGTCCTATTCATGACGACGCTGGCGAAGAAATAGCAGATCGTGCAGCAATATTGGGCACCCAGCAGCAACCAGACAGCTATTTTCCTGAGAAGCAACCAGAAAGGTACGAGTTTGTTAGCAGCTCGGCTCTATCTCCGTCTCCAGTCTCCTGGTATTGGGCTTCGTCCCACATCTCGGCCCAACACACATGGCCGTCTCCGGTCTGCCGTGCTCGGACAGGGTGTCCCAGCGTCGCCTCCGCCATCGCCGCCACTTGTTCAGCAACCACAGGTGGGCCTCGCGCCACACTCGGCTCATCACTTGCGGGCTCCGTACTTGCTCCGGCAAGGCCACTTGACGTCGCCGCCACACCCCACATCTCCTCCGCACCAGGATCGCCCTCGTCGTCAACCCACCACCAGGCGACGCCGGTCCAGCTGCCAAGGGCTCCCCCGTAGTAGGGCCGGTCGGCCCTGCAGCTGTTGATTGTTCCGAGGCTGGGGCTACTGGATCTGCTCTTGTTTGTGCTGGGTCAGCGGGGGGAGCCACCGGCTCCCCCGCGCACCTTTCGTCGCTAGCAGTTTATGGCTGTAGTTCCTCTGTCGACTCCACACTTCAACAAGCAACAATACGTTAAAGAAGCAAACTATCGTACCGAAGCAACATATCAAGTAAACAAGGTACTTACAACTATGACTCCCGTTGCGCAGCTCGGAACCGGCGCCCCCGCCTGCTACCCGTCGGCCCACCACCCGAACCGCTCGGCGTCTCCACCGCCGCCGTCGAAGTCGTCCGCGCGGTCTCGAGGACTACGGTGGCCACCTGCGCTGTTACCACAGGGGGTGTAACTATGATCTCGGGGGCTTCAGCAGCTGGCCGGGCTATCGATGTTGGCACCACACGAATCGTCGCCGCTGACGACGCCCGAACACCGCCGGTTGTCGTGGCCATGGCTTGCCGCGTCCGTTGCATCTCACGGGTCTCCGCTCCAGCTGGCACGGCCGGTGGTGGCGTCGTGTCCCTCGGAGATGGTGGTGCTGAGCTTAAAACCACCATTTGCCGTCTTCGAAGGTGAGCGGGAGCACCAATGTTCACCGGCCGCTCTTCTCGACGGGACGATCCTGCCATCTTCCTTCTCTTCGGGGACGGCTCCTCGCTAGCGGGCCGCTTCCCCCGGAGTTTCTCACGGACATCTAATGTCCGCTCACCTCCGTCTTCGTCGTCGTTGCCATCCGAGCTGTCCCCACCAGCCTCTGAGCTGGCTCGACGCTAGGGACTGCTCGGCCGGGCATCAACACTCCTCGGCTAGTCCGTCGACGGCACGGCTAAGAAGTATGCTGCTCGGTCCTACCCACGGATCTTCAAGAGCACAAATGAGTACATCGCAACAAAAAGGAATTAGGCCAAACTAATACAAAGACTCTTACCTCTGGTGGGAGGTTCCCAACACTGAAGGCCCTCTGCTGGTCATCAACCTTGTGGCGCCCCATGAGGTTGAACAACACCCCAATCCGCCGCTTGACTTTCTCTTGGTCAATCGGCTCGGGCACCTCTCGGGTCCCGTTAGTATCCCCTCGGAATTCATATGCAGGGTGTGTCCTCTCCTTACTGGGCTGGCATCATCGAAAAGTAAAGTTCATCGCCACTATGACCCCATCTACTCTCCTTCGGTCAATCAACGCCATGAGCTCCCTCACCTGCTCCATTCCACTGGCATTAGGTCTCTCCGACCACCTGGCGTTACTCACGGGAATCTGATCAATGTCGCACACCACATAATGTTCCCCCCCCCCGTGGCATGTAGAACCATCGCTGTGCCCGATACTTCATGTTTGTGTTCAACGGGGTAGCGATGTACTGTCCAACCATCCCATCCTGCAGCTACAAGTACGCGCTACCCACAACCCTAGATCCAGATCCCCCACGAGATTTCAAACAGAAAAGTGGCGGAAGAGATCAAAATATAGGAGAATGCCAAGATAGGCTTCGCAGAAATGGATGAAGACATAAACATGAAGGATGAAGTTTGGGCCCAGATTGCAAAGACTAATGGTGTAATACTCAATCAATCCGTGGAGGAACGGATGGATCGGAACACCAAATCCGCGATAGAAATAATCTTCAAACACGACCAATTCATCGCCACAGCGGTAGGAAAGTTCTCACCGCGAGCAGGATGCCATCCCACCGTCACCCTACCCGGCAGCACGCCGTCCACCACCAACTGGTTGAGCGCCGCCTCGTTGCTGACGGAGCTCACCCATTCCTCGGCGCGATTGAGCTCGCGCGATGCCCTGCTTGAGCTGCTACGCTTCTCTTGGGCGCCATCTCGCCGATCTGAGGAATGGTGGGAGATTACGAGCTTGCGGTTGCTAAGATGGCGGAGTAGTTGTCGGGTGATGTGGTGTGGGCGCAAGGAAGAAGATGAAGAGGCGAGAGCAAGGTGGAGAATGTGCGTTGGGGCTGCAACACTTTATAATGGTTCGACCCCCGACCCTTTGCCTTCTAGGGATTTTGGGAAACCGCGCTTAACCCGCCGCATTCCCTCCCGAACCACTACACGCTGATGGGCCGCCAAATGAGCAAGGTGGGCCGCGGTGTTAAATCGAGTTGAATGCGGAACGACGAAATGAATCTCCAGACTCAGCGCTGGGTCAACGGAATTCATTATACATCTATGCCAAGATATTTTTCCTTGACCCTACTACAAGATTTCTTCATCATCTTCCAGCAGCCTCGGGGACTAAGTATGTATAATTCACCTTGCGGTGAATGTACTGGTTTCCTAATTACTCGATCTTTGGGCAATGATGGGGACTGTATATTTTTCTTTGACCTGTTACAATATTCCTTCATCATCTTTCAGTGGACTCGGGGACTATACACCTTGCGGTGCATGTACTTTTTCTTCTTCACGGTGTTTTGACTTCATCAAGTCTCCCCTATGCTCTGCCTTGATGACCACGTCATCAGGACCATCGCAATGGGCACTAATGTACACCTCACCGACCAGGACTTTAAATTTTTTACTTGAGCTCCTTACATCCTTATGGCAAACCACGACTTCAAGTGAGTCCGAGATTGACGCCTAGTTAAACTGGTCGGATGCCTGTCTCGGCTGCTCGGACACCCACTTCGACAGCTCGGACGCTCGTTCTAACTGCTCGGACGCTTGGTTCAACAGCTCGGCCCCTATTTGAACTGGTCGGAAGACTGGTCCTGATGAGTTGCTGCAAGTTGGACAGCTCGGATGGATGCAAGATGGTGTTGCTCAGCGGATGCAAGGTGCTCAGGGACTAGCTGTGGGGGTATGACCCCCGGTACCCACAAGGCTCCACGTGGGCTGAGCCGCTAGGGGAGGCCCAGCCCACAAGACTATACACGGGTCGTGCCATTGGTCGAGGCCCAGCTCGCAAGACAACGCCACGCGAAGTATACCGCAGAACAACGTGCTTCACAAGGCAACGTGAAGATCCTCGGTGATTTACGAAATCTGCTTGGATATGATAGATATTGTACGATCCGTAACTTTCTATCTCGTAAACTGATCAGAATGGACATAACCGATCTGTAACCCTACCCCCAAGCTATATAAGGCGGGTAGGGACCCCCTCGTTTTCATCTGAACACACGCAATACAATCCACAAATACATATGACGTAGGGTATTACGTCAAGCCGATGGCCCGAACCTATCTAATCGTTGTCTCTTGCGTTCTGTGTCACCATCCGGTTTTCTCACGCGCACCTCCACCGATTCATCTACTATCGTGGACATACCCCTTGGTAGACTGCCGACCAGATTTCATCGACAGTGCCCGCACGCCATGGCCGCATGCTCTGACGAGGGCCACTGCCGCCCCGCTGCGTGCCTCCTCCTCCTCGATCCGCGCCTCCTCTGCTCTGAGCTCTGAACGGTAGGAAGAAGAAAGAGATGGAGAGCTGACGTGTGGGGCCCAGGTGAAAGTGAGATAGAGAGAGTTGGAGCTGTACCAAACACTTTCAAGGATCCTACATCCACGGTGGAGCTGCTCCATGATTCTGGGTGAATCTGGTAGATTTGGGTCGATTTGGAGTTGGAGCTCTTTCAAACAAGCTCTAACTTTGTATTACTGGCTCTGCTCGACTGTCTTTTTTATGCTGTGACTGCCGTTGTGGTTACAAGTTTTCTTCTTTTCAGTACTATAGCTACTGAGGACTTGCCTCCGGTGGTAGGGGCAGTGCGGCAACAAGCGCAGCCGATCAAGCTGATTATTATGATCCTTACGTTTGTTTGATCTTTTTATTGTATTATAAACTATAGTTTACTCGGGTGATTCGATAGCTTTGCTCACATGTTCTGTTTGTGCTCGTG